TTTGCTCTGCCCACGAATTCTTATCAAACGCATGTTCACTGTGTGCCTCGCTGGGACCAGCAGTCGGCGCTTTCTTTTCCCCGGAGCTGGGCCTATGTCCTGGGCTTGTCCAGAGGGAGCCAGGCCCCGTGGGACAGTGTGGAGTGTTCGGGGCCGTGGTTAGGTTCCCGAGGACCCACACAGTCGAGTCTCGGGCTGAACTGATAGGACGAGGGGCGTGTTCTATGGAGCCCTGGTTTAGTCTAAACTGAAGGCGACTGTAACTTTAAAATACACGTTGGATTTTGAAGATCTGATATAAAATTTAGAATTCACAATTGCAATTGCATCGATTACATGCGGGATGGCACTCTTTCAGGTATGTCGGATTATACAAAATTATTATTAAAACAAGTATAATTGTTTCTTTTTATTTAATTTCAATGTGGTTATGAAAGTATTTAAAACGCCACACGCGGCTCTCTGCTGTGGCTGGCATCTGATTTCCATTAGCGTTTGTGTTGGTTATGGCGCTTGTTTGTGATTAAAGGTTGTTTTATAAAACTTTGGCTTTGAAAGGTCACTTGTTCTCAGCCACTAGAGCTGTCCAGGCATTTCTAGAAGGATCATTCATTCATTCATTCATTCATTCAACATCTGCAACATGGAAGTGTGCCCAGCACCGTCCTGGATGCTGGGCACCAGGCGTGCGGCCGCATCCCCTGCCCTGAGGAGCTCAGGGTCTGGGGGGGGCCGGGGGGTTCCCCGAGCTTGGAAGCTGCTGGGGATGATGCCTTCCGGCCCTCGGCTCGGCAGGTATTTGCGGATCTCCCGCTGGCTGCTCTCCGGAGGGTTACGGAGAATCACAGACGCGAGCCAGACGGGTCCGGCCATCCCACTGCTCCCTTATCGTCAGCGCCTCCTCACTCCTCAGTGGGGTTCACACTGTGAACTCCGGCCGCTGTCCTCCGCTCTTTCTTCATCCCAAGCAGGGTCATTGCCAGAAGCGCTTGCGTGTTGTTGTGTGTGAACATGTCCTTCCTCTCTGGCTGCATCCAATCGTTGTGAAGATGCACGAGGTTGCTGCACTCAGAGAGATTTCTTAGATTCCCAGGTGACAGGCGGGGGGTGTTGGCGGCCTGGCGGGGGAGGAACGAGGGTTTGCGGGTGTCATGGTGTGGACAGCCCACCAGTGCCGATGGGGCCCACAATTCCTGGTACTCACCAGCCACTCTCCGGGCTGGGGCATGAGTGAGGGGCGCCCTTTCTCTTTGTATCTGTTTGGGAGACGTTCCTTAAATTTAATTTTTCTACTGCTTTTGATAACTATAAGTTTAATTGAGTGAGTCTTCTCTTATTCCTCTGTATTTTATTGTATGCATTTAAAACTTATTCTGAGATGATTAATTAACCAATGTCACCCCAATAAATTCAATAAAATAAAAAAAATTAAAAAATAAAGCTCTCAGGCTGAGAAAAGGGCGTGTCAGGGCTGACGTCGAGTTTTAATTCACGGCTCAGCAACCGTCGGTTCAAGTTACCTTGGCTGGTGCGGTATAAAACTCAGGTGTATAGTCAGCCTATGTGCAAGCTCGTACGGGGCACCTCCTCCCCTGGGAACACCCTGGCCCCGCCCCTGCTGCCCTAGGACCCACGTAGTCCTGGCCGGGGCCTGAGCGCTGCCCCTTGGTCAGCAGTGGGGGCTGGGCAGAGACGGGAGCCTCGAGGTCAAGTTGCTCGCCGTGGACACCTTGGAGCACTGCGAGGTAAAGCCGTGCCAGTTCTTGCTCACTGGCCTGAACTTGATACTGGAGTTTTAGGTTCCGAGAGCAGGTCTGCTAAGTTCTCTAAAAACCTAAATAAAGGATGAAGCGCTCGGTGTTCAGTGCGGTAGGCGCCCCTCCGCTTCGGGGGCGCTAGCGGCTCCCGTGGGTCCCGAGAGGACGTCCTTCCGAGGCATGGCTGCCTTTGGGGGGCAGGCCGCGGGGAAGGGAGGCTGGCATTTCACCCATGAGCGTAGCTGCTGGGTTCGTGACCTGCATCCCTCGCCCCCCTCTGCCTCTCACAGTGCTTGCTCCTCTCATGACGATGAACATCCTTCTTAATAAAACAGTCCAGCTGCCTGGCTGGCTCAGGGGTGAGCGTCCACCTATGAACCAGGAGGTCACGGTTCGATTCCCGGTCAGGGCACAGGCCTGGGTTGCGGGCTCGATCCGTAGTGTGGGGCGTGCAGGAGGCAGCCGATCCATGATTCTCTCTCCTCACTGATGTTTCTCCCTTTCCTTTCCTCTCTGAAATCAATAAAATATAT